ATTATCTGAATATCTTTCTATGTTTTACAATTACTAGTAGATAATTACGAATATCTGAATCACAAAATTTAAGAAAAATAATTAATACAATTTATTAAGAATAAGGATTTTCTTACTTTATAGATGATTATTAATATAGAAATAGATTAAGAAATAATATATGATAATTTATATAAATATTTAAATAAAATAATTATAATAATTTAAATATTCAATATAAGAAAATAATCATAATTATTCATTATTAATATTTTCTTACTCTGATGCATATACTATCACTGTCCCATGTAACTAGATATTTACCATCTCTAGTCATAGCACCATATAGATAAACATCTGAATTTTAAATTGATTACATAACAGAAAATTCATTATTTTTCTGATTGATTTTAATTATATTCATAGTATTTCCATATTTATGAAGTAGAATAGATTTTTCTTCAATCAACTACTAAGAAAAGAAATCCCATCTATTATCTTTTGAATTTATTTTAAGTTCTTAAATTATCTAAAAATTTCTATTTTCTTAATCTCTCTTATATATTTAAAGAAATCCTTAATCATAAGGTTAGTATGTAAATAAATCATCCTTAATAAATTTTAAACTATATCCACATTTATTTGTTTAAATAATCTAAATTATACACCATTATTTATTATTTTGTATATATTATGTAAGAAAGATCTCAGTTCCTGTAGAACAAGAAATGAGTTAAGTAGATGATATATTTAGACTTATACTACGAATTTCATTAGAATGACCATTAAGTATTTATTTACAATACCATTGATTATCTTTCTTAGACCAGAATCTAATAGAACGATCATCACTACCAGAAATAATCAAATCTTCTCTATTATTCATTATAACTCCTGCCCTAATATAATCAGTATGTCCTTCCAAAACTTATTAACAATACCAAAGATTATTACTATCACAAGACCATATCATTATTTTACAATCATTACAACCTGATATAAATTAATTAGACCTATTCATAAAATATAAACATCTCACATAATCTTTATGATTGTCTAATATTTATGTTTATGTTAATTAACCTTGCCTAAATTAAAATACTTTAATAAAACGATTACATCCAACAACTAGAACATTAGAATCACTATTGAAAGCAAAAGATAAGCATTTTTCTTCTTTTATATTATATTACTCTTATAATTTATAATTTAATGGAACTGCTTAATTTGTTTGTTCAATTAAATCTTTATTTGATATTTAATTAATTAATGGATTATTCTAATTGATTAAAAATGATTCAAATTAAACTTCTAGCATATTACAAAAACCTATAGTTTAATTCATCATTTTTAATATTTAGATATCTTTAGCGATAAATTCTTATTCTATTAATTCAATTTAATTTTTTTAAGCATAGATATAAGCAACATCTATTAATTAATTATTTGTGAATTCAGACCAATCTAATTACATCATTTAAAATTGTTGATGAAGTTAATCATTTTCTAATTTAGTTTGATTATTCAATTATTAATTAATTTCATCAATTAACTTTTGGAAATGTATTGTTAATGATTAAATTTATTAGAAAATAATATTTGATTTTAATATTAATTTATCTTAAGCCAAATTAAATGAATTTAAAATTTCTATTATGTATTCATTCCATTTATTTTTCATATTTTATATGGTTATATATTATCCATATTTATTATATTATCTACAGTTTTCACAAGCTAATTTATTTTAATTTTCTCCCTTTAATTATATATATCTTATTTGTTATTAATGTTAATCACAAATCCAGTTTCCATCTTTCTATTTTTAATGAGGATGAAATATTCTATTTAAACTTGTTATAGTATCATTGAAATTTATCTATTAAATTGTCTAAAAGCAATTAATCATAATATCAGAATTTATTAAATTCTACAACTAATTCTTCAACAATTATTTAATCCTTTCACAATCAACTAATTATTCTTTTAATAATATATTTAATTTATTAGGATTGTTATGCACTTAAAATGGTAATTCATAAACTAATTATCCAATTTATTTTGATTTAAGTTACAATTCTTAGACTTAATTATCTAAGTCTTGTATATATTTAAGTGATGATTCAATAAAAGCAATCATCTATTTTTGAATATGACTTTTAAGAGTAATAAGTGCCTTAATAGCAAGTTAAGTATCCTTTTATTAAAGAGGAATCCATTTTTACTTTAAGTTCCATTCAATACTTCCTGTATCTTATTCTTCTATATTATAAACTTAAAACATAATATGAATTATTAATTATTAATATCAAATCCATAATTGTCTTCCTTTTAATACGAACTTAAGATACCAAACTTATAAAATACGACAACATTATGATATTTTATTATATCCTTTATTTTTTTATGTTTCTTATTAAACACTAACTTCTTTGTGTATTATCAATAGAATAAAACTCCTCAATATTTTATTATAAATAACTATTTTCTTTTTCTTCTGATTTATTTGCTTATTACTAAACCATATAATTATTTAAATTTTTACTTCTTTCAAAGTATTAGTGTTGATTTATAAAACTCTTTTCATATATAATCAAAATTATACTGATATAATTTTTTATTTTTTACATTATTTTATTCCAAAACACTTTTATCTTATTTTCTTTATTGTAAATTCACATAATATTTCAATATATTAAAGTCAAAAGAATAATTATAATTAGTTCTTTTAATATTGCCTTAAAAATTTTTGTTTCTATATTTTGATGAATGACTTTTATCATATCATGCGAATAAGATTCTATTTCAATCAAATTTCCATCTAAATTTCAATTGAAAACACAAGTAAGAAGTTTATTTTATTTTTTAAATACAATAATAGCTTCATTTTTAGGTTGAAAATTATAATTATTGATTAAGAACTTATTATTAACCTTTATTCAACTCATCAGAATTTCCTTTGATTATTTTGAATCAATATTTTCTATTATTGTTTCTTAAATACTAGCTCTCCTTATACTTATTTAATGATCATTTTATTTAGTCTTTCTTAATCAAAAAAAATAACTAAATGTTGTTTTTTTATTTTTAAATAATGTTTAGTATATTATCAATAAACATAATCCTCAATTACTTAGATTTATTTTAAATAAAAGAATTCATTAGTTTCTTGATTTTTTATTAATCTTAAATGTCAATATAAATAAATATATTGGAAAAAATATCTGTATTATTTAATCATAAATCATATTTAGATTAAAAGAAATGAAACATTAATTAACAACAAATATTTCTATATTGATTAATATTTTAGTGTAAATTAAAGCAAATAAACAATTCTTCTTAATTGGTCTAAATTGATCTATAGTTGGTAGCCAAGGACAGACCTTATTTATAGGCAAAAATTGCATAGAAAATATATATATTCAAAATCAAAATTGTAGAGTATTTCAATTTTAGTTTTCCATCCTTTTAGATTAGAAATTCCAATCAGAATAATTCTGTTTAATCATAAGTGACAGCTTTCTTGTTATTTTCTAGGATTTATACTTCTTCTTCATCATATTCAAAGATAAAATCTTCTCGGAGTATTTCATAATCTTTATTATTTAGAGTGGTTTATGATCAGAAACTATTTAAAGGATAATATGGGTCCTACTTAATAATTAATATTTTTATAACAATATATAGTCTAATTACTTCCCTATAGAATTATTCTTAGTCTTTTAGTAATTATTTAATTGATTATGTTATAATAGGTGTATGATGCCATTTTTATACTTGAGTTTAAGTCAACTCCAAACACTAGAGGGAATTTATAAATTTTTCAGTTAAACACCTCTATTCTTTCTTTGCTATTACGATCAGATGACTAAAAAGATGGATCAAATTTTAAAGTTTATTATTGTCAAGGGATATTTCTTTCTTTTCTTAACATATTATTAATAGGGATATTAATTATATTATCTTTAGTTCCCTCTCTTATGAATTTATATTTTTCCTTTAAAATAGAATGAAAATTCTAGCTAATCAATTTAATAATGGAAGAATGAGTCATATGTAAAATTTATTGGAAGTCTAATTAGCCTTTCATTTACTTTCCATATCCTTTGTGTGTTATTCAAAAATTAGATTTCTTCTTAGGGTCATCTTAATGATGCCGCAGCAGTTAAATTTATTGAAAAAATAAAAAAATAAACAAAGGTATATTATTTTCAGAAATTAAGATTATTAAGATGTAGTTTAAAAAATTATAAGTCAAAAATATTTAATTAATAAATTACATATATTTGATTTAGGTAATTAAATATTTAAATCATGAATAAAGAAAGAACTTTGTTTTAATATTGGATAATAGATCTATCACAATAGTAAGTATAGTTTTCATATCTTATACATTTGAATAAATGCGACTTAACCTAAAAAATTCAAGATTATAAATCTCCAATTATAAATAGGAGTAGTATTCATTAATGTATTAAAAAATTTTTAGAATCTTAATTGAAATATATAAAAATAGAAATTATTTTTTCTTTTAAATATGATATTTGATAAAAAGAGGTATGATAATTAATGAATTGAAATACATTAATAATAATATGACAGACTTTCAAATGGAAAAAATTCAGATTTATTTTTTGCTAATGATACCATGAAAATTTTTGGTTTATTAATTTAATAACAAGAAACATGATTTCTTAGATTTTATATTAAAATAATTAAAAATATTTATTTGACAAAACAAGAAAGTTGAAGAATTCTGTTCATTACAATATAATAATATATCATTAACTTCAAATTATTAATATTTATAATCTGTTATTTAAAATAATAAATGAATTTTATTGTTTATTATTAATTTGATTTAGACAGTTTCATAAGTTAGATGTTAATTTTAATAAAATAAAGTGAAAATTCTAATTATGGATTCATTTAAAACCATAATTATTATTAATATATGTATTGATTAGATTTGAATTATAATTTAACATCTAATTTAAATTAATTAATATTTATAAATATCAAAACATCTCTACTGGCATTAATAAACCAAAAAAGAGGATATTTGTTGCAGCAATTATGTTATCCTTTTAAATCAAAAACTAAATATATATATATATTTAATTACTCTTCCTTTAAAAATCTATCCAATAACTATCATAATTATAGAGCCATATAAAACAGATATTATTGAATTTATAAAAAACCAAAGATTGAATATTAAAGGGATTAATGCAAATATACAGCAAACAGCAATAGGAACTACAATATTATTATTTATTTACTAAATATTCTAATTTATTCTTGTTCTATAGCAAAATATGCAATCAAAATGAAATTGATAACACAATTGAAGATAAATTATTATTCTGCTAATATAAATGCTAAATCAGCAGCTAAAATTCATATTAGTAAATACTGCTAAATTATAATCCATCACCATCATCGTTTAATGAATCATGATTAAATAATCGACAAAATGTCAAATATGTTTATGTTGATAAATAAATTTGGACAATGAGAATGACTAGACTTTCTGGAATCTAAAAATATAATTATAAATATATACTCTTCTGAATTGTTAGAGGGTTCCAATTTTAGCCAATCCATACATTAACATAAGAGATATTGGAAATATATAAGGAGCTATTTGATCTATAAAATCTTTCATTCCACATAGTAATCCATATATTAAGAAAAATTGAATAAGAGACCAAAAGAAAAAAATGATCAGAATTTTGATTATGAACATTTTTTGGATACTAAAACATTATCGATGTATCAAATTATCTTATGAATAGTCTTAACATTGCATTTAAGTATAATCACTGTTATTTGGAATTGCTATTCCTTCTTATATGTTTAATACATTTTCTATTATAATTTAATAAATATTACCTTTTTAGTTCTAATTTTAAGGTACATCTTTATAATTAGAGAATTCAAAGGTTTCCTTTTCTATTTATTATGCTATTAAAGATTATTCGTTTGTTTTTAGAGAATTACTCATAAATTTAAACTTAAATGATCCTTTGTATTTTTTTTCACTATATTATCTAATTCAAACAATATATACCTAATTCCATGAAGATTCAATAATTCTATTTATTACAATAATTTATAATTATAAAATTTACTTTAAATACATATATCTTAATTATATAATTTCAACTTATTTAAATTATTATATAAGTAAATTTTGTTTTGTGAATAATATTTTATTCAAATATTTAAGTCATAAATATCATCTATTAGAATATTTATCAACTCATAAATAAACTAAATTAATCTATTTTGAAAATATATATTAATTATAATTTTTATATATTTGTTGATATTTATTTATTATCCATATAATGATGTTTATATTTGTTGTTAAGTATATAATAATGAATTAGGTTATATAAAATAAAAAATTAATAATAGCATTACCAAAGGTTTCGAACTTATGAAATTTATTATTAAATATTTTTCTAAGTTAATTTAAGTATTTTATAAAGAAATAATTAATAATTAGTATTCTGTTGATCAAATTTCCCCATATTAATATGATAATATACATTTAATAATTAAATAATAATCAATTTGTAAAATGCTTTTGTTTATTTATCTCAACTAAAAAATAGAATATGAAATACAAAAGTATGTATTATAAAAAAGTCACTTCTATGAAATAAATATTGTTGCTATCAAGTCAAACTGATATAAGGTTGTGAATATAACAATTTAGATTAATTATTTTTCTAGAGGATAAGTAAAAAGAATTTAAAATTAAAGTTGATAACTGACATAATAAAATATTTAATTTTTACTTATATATTTCAATTATTTTAAGCCTCAATTCAATGAACCAACCAATGAAATGAGATTAACTTTTGATTCTCTTATTTCATGAATTTCCTTAATTACATCAAAATTCTTAAATATCTTGCTAAAAGTACTATAAGTTCCCTAATGCCAAGATTCTGTGAGAAGCTATTTAAATCCTTGCTTCTTACATTCCTCTATTGATAAATATGAACAAACAACAGCTAATGATTATCTTATGTAATCTGAATGTGTTCCCAAATGATTTAGATATGCAACTTCTTTATAGTCTCTCTCTTTTGATGCTACATACTTACCTAATAATATATCAATAATTCCAATTATTTCTGAAGCTACTGGAGTTGGCTATACTCCTTCCTCCTACATATCAGTCTTTAAATCACAAGTTAAACAAGCAGAAACTAGATTTTCTCCTTGAAAAGCACCAAATGAAAGGTTCTCAGCTATGATTCGATCACTAAAATTGTATAACTCATAATACTTACAAGATTTCTATTGATTACAATACTTTTATGTCTTATTCAGTGGCCTATAATAGTTAAATGACAGGGTTTTGGGAGAGAAACGCATTTATCATAAGTCTTTATGTGTTGAAAACGTCCTTTCTTTCAAGCCTACGAAATGTATACAAGCCTTCTTTTTCTTTAACGAGAGCAGATAAATCACAAATGTTGTTCCTCTACATTACTATTAGTTATAATTAGTATATTCAACTGAAGTATTAAATAAATATAAATTGTTTTATGTTAAAAACGGACTGTTTTTAATATGAAAATAATAATATAAATATTACTATTTCGATTGAAAATATAGTCTTAAGCTATATTTCTTTATCATAAATAATTGAACCAAATTTGCTTTTGAAGCATGATGATTAAGTTTATTCAATAATATTTGATGATTTTAATTTTATCAGTAATTCAGAAATTATTAAATGAAATCTAATCTTTTATTAAATTTGACCTCTATTGATATATAATTTGGAGATTTGGATGGCTGTAGATTAAGATATTGATATTGAATTACACATAAGTTTAATATTACTGAAGATTGAATTGTATAAATCTTTGAAAATCAAAGATAATGTATATTTTATGTCATATAATTAATTATCATTCATTAAATTGATGTATTTTAAAAGTAGTTATGATTTAGATAAATTAATTAAGTAAGAAGGAATCGAAATATTCTTTAGAATTTAAATGTTAAATGAATTAAAATCTATCGAGTAAAAAGATTCAATGTACTAATGTGGAATACAAGATTCATTGATGAAATTAACATAATAATTGTAAATGTAAATAAATAGATAACATGAAAGTTTTCTTTTATCAAATTATCAAAATTTATTATTAATTATAAATTATAATGAGTACTATTTTTATATATTTTAATTTTTATAAATTTTAATTATAATATTAAGATTAAGCCCTCTCTCAGTTTAATTTTAATCAAAGATTTATTTGACTTTTCTTCAATTACCTCCTAATCTTTATAAAAAATAATTTTTTACCATTTAATAAAAGTAATTTCAATATTATTAGAGTCAATATATTTAGAATATACAAATTTATTATAGGTTATTTTTTTGTAATATATTCAAATAGATCGAATGTAATTGATCATCTATACTAATTATATTCATTATTAATAAATACTTTTCAAATTATATCTTTATTTATAATATTTGTAATGATGATATAAAATTAAGTTCCATATGATATTTTAAAACTAAGCTTTTTTAATCTATACCCAAAAAGAATTTATTATAAAAATTATAGAAATAACGATACAAAAAGTAATTTTAATATTTTAAGTAATATTTAATCTTAAAATTTTACTTAATTTATATTTAATTTAATTTGAAAATCATTAAGACAAGACTATCAACTAATTTTATAATAGATATTTATTAATTTGAATATCTAAAATTCAATTATATGTTTAGATTAATAACTAATTACCTGTTAATATTAAAAAAATATAATTAAGACTTAACCCTTTTAGTAATTAGGTATCTTATATAATTATAATATTAGATTATATATATTTGATTATTATACAACATATATGAATATAAATATAAAATATGTAATAATCTGTATGAAAAATGAAATTCTACAAATAAATAAAAAAGGTTTAAAATCTTTTAAGGTGTGTAAATAATTAACACTACTTATAGATGTTTTTAAATGCATCAAGATTAAATTTCATCTGTATTATAATGTTTAAATTATAACAATAAAAAATTATATATTTAATTAACACTTTTATAAAGTTAGTTTTATATACTTCACTTTGAAATGTGATTTCATAAACAACAATAAGTGATAGAATTTTAAGTTAATTCAAATTAATTATTACTCTATATAAAGTCACACATTGGTTCCAAAAAGATTAATAATACAAAAAAGAAATCATATAATATCTTAAATATTTCTTATGAGTATAATTGTAAATATTTAAAAATAATATTTTCCAAATTATTGTCAGGATAATTTATTTTAACAAATGTTTAAATCTTCTATGATAGAGAAAGAGAAGGATCTAAAATGTGCAAATAAACACAAATTACCTATTCTTATGGTTGTTCTAGATCCAAAATTAGAATTAAATTAACGACTTTTATGTTCAGATTGTATCAAACACTTTACTACTCAATATTCAACAATTGGATATGAATTAGTCACAAAATAAATTAAGAAAAATTAAAAATAGAAAGTATAAACAATAGAAAAGACTATTTAATTAAATATAAAGTAAGTTGAAGAATTATTAGGAAATATTAATAAATTAAAATCAACTATAGAGTTTTAATTAGATGAAATAATTGGATATAGTGGAGGATGGATTAAAAATTTATTATCTGTAGGACATGAGTTTTCTTAATACAGTTTTCATAAAGAATTAGAAAATTTAATTTCTAAATAATTAGAAAATTCAATTGATAAATCTTTATTAATTAATGAAATCAATAAAGTAAATAGTTTTTGGAATGTAAAAATAAATGAAAAATTAGAATAATTTAGTTCATTTAAAGTATATTAAAAATGTTAGGAAATACTTTAGAACTTAAATTAAACAATACAAATTAAATAAGAAGAGAATTAATAATAAAAAGTATCTTAATAAAATAATCTATAATCTTAATTAGAATAATTGAATACTAATTAATTAGTATCAGAAAGTTAGATTAATCTATAATTAATAGATGATAATATAAAATAAAAAAGTAAATGTTATGCAATAGCTTTCAATAAAGATGGAACTTAAATGGTATCCATGTCTCATTCTGATATTAAAGTATGGAATATGATTGATGGAAAACTCAATTATTAATTAAATTTATAAGGACATACTAATTACATTTATTGTTTACTATATAGTAAAAAATAGGATAGTTTTATTTCAAGTTCAAATGATAAAACAATTATTTGTTGGAAATAAATTAAATAAAATGAATGGAAAGCATCATAACATTATAAAGAACATAAAGGATGGATTGGAACAATGATTATTAATAACTAAGAAAATCAATTATATTCAGCAGGAGAAGATTAAAAAATAATAGTTTGGAAAGTAGATTTTAATTAAAATGAATTAACATATATGTATTAACTAGATAAACATACTAAATGTATTCGTGCTATGAGTTTGAATGAGTATGAGAATATATTAGTATCAAGTGGAGATGATTAATAAATAATAATATGGGAATATGGATAAGGAGATAAATTTTATTTTAAGTAAGTATTTAATTAAATTTTGAATTGTTCAGGTTGTCACATTAAATTTATTAAAAATAATAAATTTATATGGATACCTTATAGTAAAGAATTAAATTGCATTTGTATATTTGATTTCAAAGATGGTATATTTAATGAAGATATTGATAATAGAATCTAATTACTTAATTCTAATAAGAATCTTGGATGTGCTTTATTCCCAATAGTTTATTTGAAAGACAAAAATATATTATTTATTAGATCTAAAAATATTATATTGACATCAATTGGTATATATTTTTTTTTATAATATACATATTTCTTTAAGAAGATGATAATGAAATTTTTTTGATTAATATTGTGCTTAGAAGCTATTCTAATCATCCCATAAATAATCTCGTATTTTTGCATTATCTACACAAACTTTCAGTTTTTCTAATACTTTTTCTGTACCTTA